AAAAATTTTTTTTAAAAAAAAAAAAAAAAAACACCTTTGGGTTTCTTTTCATTAGCCTTCTGGCTTTCAAGTCTTTAGGTAACACTCGAGTCACATTTCCAAGCTGCTGTCTTGCAATCATGAGGGTTAGAAACTTACTTTCTTTTTCAATTGTTGTATGAAGTGTTGTTGTAGCCGTGTTGGTCCCAGGATATCAGAGAGACAAGAGCTTGTATTCAGGTGTAAGATCAAAAGCTTGTCTCTCTCACCAACAGAAGGTGGTCCAATAAAAGATATTACTTCACCCACCTTGTCTTTGCTTTTTAAGTGAAAGCTGAGATTCTGCTCTAATCACATGACTCCAGGAGCTGGGGCTTTAAGAAAAGCACTAAGACCATGAGACTCATGGGAGCTGGCCACACTACAGTTTGATACCACTCACGAGAACACAAAGATAAGAGAGGAGGAAGCCAGGTCCCTGGAGTGAAGGTGCAGTAGAAGGTAAATTACATTACATAAACCCAAAATATTTCTAGGGGAGGTAATCTGGGGCACCTATAAAGGCTGACCCTGTCCCTTTAATTAACTGTTTAGTGGCTGGATCCAGCACAACCTTCAGTAGAAGCCTTTGAGCTTTTGTCTTGGCTTCCCTTTTTATGGCTGCAAGGGGATGCTTGAAGCTTTGTGGTGGTGCGATACAATTCTCCCCCCAGTGCAGCGAGAGGGGGAAATGCCCAGGGGTGAGGTACAGCTGCATCACAGCACCACAGCTTGTGTCTACCGCACCTTGGTAGACCATCTCACACAGACTAATTGCAGCCAAATGGATCACTACAAGGCAAGGTGTGCATTTAGTAGGTTTGGGTAGTACAGCTATACCAACATGCTACAGGGGCAAAGCATCCTTCCTCTTGGCACCGCTTACACCGGCCACACTGCGCGTATTTCAGTCCCCCCCCCACCCCCAAGCAAAATATGCTCTACCCCCCAACCCTGTATCTATACTAGGGTCTTTTGCTGGCCCAACTCTGTCAGGGATCACACCTCCTCCCATCGCTGACTGACATAGCTGCGACAGCAAAAGTTAGCAGTGTAGACACAGCCTCTGGATTGCACCGCACTTGGGTACTGCACAAGGGCTTGTCTACATTTGGGATAACGGATTGTCAGTTAACTCAAGGGAGTTAACGCATTTGCAAAGACCAGCCTGGACGTTCTCCAAACTTTTGTGCCTTACCCTAGGCAGAAGCCAGGAAAGTTGAGGAGGAGGAATGCTGCAGCATCACTGCAGGGCAGGGAAGGTCTACTACACCTTACGGTCACAGCTACCACGGAGCTTTGATTTGCCTTTATGTTTCTAAAGGGAATTCAGTGCTGGCAACAGGTGCTGGGGTGAAAGCAATGAGTGATGAGCCCACATCCCGATGGGCCAACATCTGGCCATGGCCAGAATGAGGGATATTTAGGAAGGAAAACAGGGCGACAGTTTTTAACGTACTGAAACACTGAAGTGGGGGAGCCATTGAAAGAACTGGGGCGGGGAATATGGCAACTGCTTGGCTCCAAAACAGGAACTGTCCCCCCGTAAATAATCCAGGGGGCAGGTAGAGTACAGGCTGTGGCCGGGCTGAGCTCCCTCCATGCCCACCCTGCAACTGGACCTCAGCCTGGACCTGGACCGGAAAGCGGAGCTCACCCCCTATAGCAGAACCTAGGGTTTACCTGGACCAGCTACCCAGGGTGAGAACTACAGCTGCCTTGCCTGCACTAGGATTTTAACACATTAGAAAAGCCCTGCTTGCCCTAAGGGAGGACAAGGCCACAATTAGCAAGATGACGGTCCCTCCCACAATCAAAGTGGGGAACAGGTGGATACAAACAAACCAGGCAGGGAGCTCATGAGACCAGTGTGAAAAGCCAAGGTTCCAGCACACCAGCTGCCTAGCCATGGTCCAAGTTTTCCAAGGCATCACGGCACAGGCAAGTTTTAAGGGGGAATCTGGAGCAGCCTATTGTAAAACCCGCAAATTTCAGTTTACAGGGAGCATCTCCCATGCATAAGTGTGAAGGGGCTTCTGGGTAACTGTGACAATGAACAAGTAAGGCCGGGTTGGAGGACTCTAAGAGATGAGTAGCCAGGGCAAAGATACGTTGTGAAGGGCCTTAAAAGGTAAACCTGAGAAGTAAAAGCTTTCCAACCTGTTTTATCGCTGCTCAAGTGGTTTGCTAATGGAACTCAACGTGGGCCTGTCAGCATCGCCCCCCAGTTTCCAAAGTCACAGCAGAGGCATAAATCTGCTCTCGGATTTGACACGTGTTTCACCCACTAATTATATTTGACATTATAGCTAAATTGCACTAAAACCCCCCTGGTGCAAACAGTGCTGGGGGGGGGGGGAAGAGTGCTACAAGAAAGGGTATTTACAGGCAATTTAACTCCTTGGGGGTGGCTTAACTCCTGGCATGTCTAAGTCCTCAACAATATTAACATACCCAACATTTAAAAATCGCGTCTGTGTCTCAGGAGACACGTTGGGACTTCTGAGAGCAATTTTAGTGAGACAGGAACACAGGCACTGCCATGCGGCATCGGACCCACGGTCCATTTAGCTCAGTATCCTGCCTCTGACAGTGGCCAGCACCAGCTGCTTCAGATGAAGGTGCAAGAACCCTGCAATAGCAGATGTGGGATAAACCGCTTCCATATTAAGTCTCATCCTGATCTCTAGTAGTTAGAGGTTGGCTAAGCCCTGAACCATTAGGTTTAATATCCCCTCCAGAATGCTTGTTAGCAGGAACTAAATGGGTATTGAGAATATTCAAAGTTAGGTGTCCAATCACTTTTTGAATCTTGCTAAGTTTTTGGCCTCAACGACATCCTGTGGCAGGGAGTTCCACAGTCTAATTACACACTGCATGAAAAAAAGTATTTCTTTTTACCAATTTTGAATACTTCACCCTTTAACTTCACTAAATGTCCCTTTGTTCTTGCACTATAAGACAGGGAGAACAGATTCTCCCAATCTACCTTCTCTAGCCCATTCATTGTTTTATATACTTTTATCGTGTCCCCGATTTCTCGCTTTTCAATACTATAACTCTGGATAATCTTGCTCTCTATATAAAGGCACACTTTGGAGGATCGGGGGGAGAGGGAGTGTATGTGAAGTGCTCTTATCAGATAGGTTTACCATCTTTTAGTTTTTAAAAAGGAGGACACTCCATGGGGACCCGGCCCCGCCCCAACCCCGCCCTTTCCCCGCCCTCA